TGGGGAAAGACTTTTTAATATATTGCTGGAGGCTATTTGCTAATATTATGTTGAGGATTTTAGCATGTATGTTCATCGGGATATTGGTCTGTAATTCTCTTTCTTTGTAGTGTCTTAATCTGGTTTTGGAATTAGGATAATGCTGGCCTCATAAAAAGAGTTTGGAAGTGCTCCTTCCTCTAGGATTTTCTGAAATAGTTTGAGGAGTATAGGTGTTATTTCTTCTTTGAATGTTTGGTAAAACTCCTGTGAAACCATCTGGAGCTGGGCTTTTCTTTGGTGGGAGTTTTTGATTACTGCTTCTATGTCATCAGTTGTTATTGGCCTACTCAGGTGTTTTGATTCTTCCTGATTCAGTTTGGGAGATTGTGCTTTTCTAGGAATTTGTCTATTTCATCCACATTGTCCAGCTTGTTGGCATATAGTTGTTTATAGTATTTTCTTACAATCCTTTGTAGTTCTGTGGTATCAGTGGTTACTTTTCCATTTTTGTTTCTGAATTTATTTATTTGGGTTCTCTGTCTTTGTTTCTTGATGAGTCTGGCTAATGGTTTATCAATTTGTTTATCCTTTCAAAGAACCAGCTCTTAATTTCATTGATTTTTTTTGATATTTGTTTTTAGTCTCTATGTTATTTATTTCTGCTCTAATTTTTATTATTTCCTTCCTTAGTCTTACTATGGGCTTTTCTCTTTCTAGTTCTTTAAGTTGTGGGGTTAAATAGCTTATTGATGATTTTTCTTGTTTTTTGAAGTATGCCTGTAGTGCCACAACTTTCCCTCTTAGGACTGTTTTTGCTGTGTCCCAGAGACTTTAGGTAGTTGTACGTTTATTTCCATTTGTTTCCAGGAAGGTTTTGATTTCTTTCTTGATCTCATTGGTCACCCATTCATTGTTTAATAACATGCTATTTAGCCTCTATGTGTTTGAATGTTTTTACTATTTTGATTTCTAATTTCATTTTGCTATGATCTAAGAAGATGCTTGATATGATTTCAATCTTCTTGAACTGGTAGAGACTTGTTTTGTGTCCTAATATATGGTCTATCTTTGTAAATGATGCAGTGCA